CTCATTACCAAAAATTCTTGACATGACAAAAATAAAGATGGAGAAAAATTAATAACTTGAAGTGATATAGATGTGTGTCTATAAGAGCATCACTTGAGGGAAATTTGGGGGCAATGTCTTGGTTGCTATGATGGTTAAATAAATACACATGCTAAATTTTTTAAAAAATTGAAAATACAATACACATATTAGTGTTAATTCTTGTTTTGCTACTGTACATGCTTACACATAATGTGAACCACTGAGAAAGGCTGATGGGCATGGGAGGACTTTGGGTTCTATGTATGCTTACATCTTCTCTTCCCATGAATCTGGAGTTCTCTGATAATAAACTGTTTTTAAAAGACTAGGTGTTTAGCTGCTCAGTGGTAAGGTGCTTGTCTAGCTTCTGTCCAGCCCAGGGTTTGACCCTTGCACCACAAAATATAAATGAACAGTTGTAAATTAAAAACACTGTTAGGAAATAACAGAAAAATTAATGTGTATGAGAGGAACAAATAAAAAATCTATATTTTTACAGAAATAATTTACAAAACATTTCACTAAGAATTTGGGGCACAGTAAGTAAGCGATAGGAAACTAGTGAATTCATTGCTTCATGATTGTTCAGGAAACCATATCATTATAATAGCATCTAGGGTAACAAAGTGTACACTGTCCTTTCCTGAGGAGCATATTTCCTAAAAACCAATTGATTGAAAATTAATGCATGTATGACATTTCTGAATTTCCTGTAGCCAGTCTATAAGTCAGGCATAAGCACCACTAATCAGAAGATTAAAAGGCCCAATAGTCAGAGGATGATAGATTCAGTGGGAGACTCGCTGCTGTCTCATTCCCGGCAGTGCACTTATTTGATGACTTCCTGCCTTCTTCATAATGCTGAAAAGGGAGTTCCTTCGGCAATAATCTACAAATTAAGAGAAACCCATTTAGCCTGTCAAAAAAGTCACATGATTGAGTATCCCTAAGCATCATGCCAGGTATTTAATCAGAACTTTACAACAGACTGAATGGTTCTTATTGCCTCTCCTACTCTAGAAAATTTAATTTTATAATTTTAAAAGATAAAAATTTGAAATAAAATTATTGTATAAAGGGAAATAACTGGTTGTGAACAAAACATGTGAAAATAATCAAATGTGTTGCAGAAAAATGGTTATGGCCTGAAAAAGAATTTTTTTTGGAACATTCATTTATCACTAGGGTTAAAACTAATAAAGAGGATAGGGTAAATTATCTATCTGGAATATATTTTTGAAATAAAGAAAATAAAATGAACTATAATTTATGCCATGGCATATATATGTTGTTCTAGTATTATATAATAAAAGAATTATAGTCATTATCTTATGTAGTAGTGAAAAAGACCATATTCGCTGCTTTAAGTATATTGGATATAGTCTATTTTGTGTGTGTGTGTGTGTGTGTGTGTGTGTGTGTGTGTGTGTGGTGTATGTGTGTGTGTGGTGTGTGTGTGTGTGTGTGTGTGGTGTGTGGGTGTGGGTGTGTGTGTGTGTGTGTGTGTGTGTGGTGTGTTTCTATTTGTATGCATTTCAATCTGTGTCTCTTCCTTTAATGTTAGGGACAGAAACCTTCAAATATAAAGAGAATCTAATCAGCTTCTTTAGCTATTATATATCATTGCATATATTATTAAGAGTTAACAGAGAGCTGCTCTTTTAAGTTTATCAAAATTTCACTGCAAAAAGTTGAACCACAAAAAAGTTAGCAAACTCATTTTGGCCAAGGATGTACACAATATAACTTCAAACTTATTTTAATATTATATTATTTAGCTCTGTGAATATTTCCCAGGACTATTACCCTGCTTTGCATATTTTTGCATTGAATAATAAGTTCCTTGCCAGAGAGCTTTAAAAAACGGGAAAGCTACCTCAAGAGAAGATTTAAACAGATGCTGCATGTATAAAATGGCAATATAGATATATTGAAACGTAGATGAGAGGGAGTCAATTAAATGGCTTTGTGTGTGTGTGTGTGTATGTGTGTGTGTGTGTGTGTGTGTGTGTGCAAGCACGCCCACGCTCATGCATGAGAGATTACTTTAGAGTACTCAGCAAAGGTACAGAAATTTTCAAATTTGAGTTCTATTAATAACAGATCTTAGCCGGGCGATGGTGGCGCACGCCTTTATTCCCAGCACTCGGGAGGCAGAGGCAGGCGGATCTCTGTGAGTTTGAGATCAGCCTGGTCTACAGAGCTAGTTCCAGGACAGGCTCCAAAGCCACAGAGAAACCCTGTCTCGAAAAACCAAAAAAATAAATAAATAAATATATAAATAAATAACAGATCTTATGAGACTGTGAGATTCTACTTCTACTCTAAAACTAACTGGTGTTAGTTTCAGCACCACCGTGCTATTAATATGGATGGTTAACCTTGTTTCCCTCATACTATTGTTTATACAAAACCTTTAGTTGTTACCCTCTTATAGTCTTGGTTTGCTAATATATAAAACAAACATAGAAAAGTTGCCTGGTTCCTAGAATAATGATCAAGCAGAATACATCTAGACAGTTTCTGATACACATATGCACAAAATACATTGGCTCTTAATTAGTTTAAAACTTCAATTATTTTAGCTATTTCCCGCCCCAAATCACTCATGGCATTTTCACCTGAATGCCATTCAACTAGTCCAGAAATAGTTTTAAAAATAGAAACATTTTTTTCTATCAGATGCATCAGGTTTAAAGGATAATTTCCCAGTCAAACAACACTACTATACAAGCCAGATTAATATTCTATTCGCTTTTTCTCCTGAAAACAATAAGGAAAAATAGTGTTGTATACGTTTAATAGGAAGTTTCTTGTAGATTTAAAAATCATTTTGTTGCCTCCAAGTAGCCTGTGGAAGTGCTATAACATCTGGTGGGAAAATTAATCAAACGTTCATAAGCATTCTATGCATCTCTAAAATTCCTTCCACGTATTTACTTTCCTAAGCATGTTTTTGCTGTATCTGCTTCCATCAGCTACAGGATATAGGTTCTATGCTGACAAGTCAAACACTAGACTGAGCTCCTGGAGCTTGGTTGAAGAGAGCTGGCAGGAATCAAATGAACAAGGGGGTTTGAGAACATGACTGGAAAAACCACAGAGACAGTTAACCTAATGTGGTCAACTGTCTAGATCACAGACTCTGGACTGATAGCTGGGGATCTTGCATGGGACCAAACAAAGCCCTCTGAATGTGGATGACAATTGTATGGCTTGATCTATTGGTTGGGGAGGGATCTGACAGTAGGACCAGAACTTATCCTAGGTGCAAGAACTGGCTTTTTGGAGCCCATTCCTTATGGTGGGATACCTTGCTCAGCCTTGATATGGTGGAAATGGGCTTGGTCCTAGCTCAAGTTGATATCCCAGACTTCATTGACTCTCCAAGAGAGGCGTTACCTCCTCTGAGGAGTGCATGAAAGGAGGGATGGGGGATGTAGGGGACAAAGGAGAAGGAGGGTAAACTGGGGCTACTCTGCAAAATTAAAAAAAAAATTGAAAAATTAGTGATGGTTAGCTGCCCAGTGTCTTCACTGGGCAATTGCTTGCCAGAATGCACTGGACACTGCACAAAATCATTTATCCCCAAAAGAAAGCCTGTTGGCCCTCCTGCTCATTTCAGTATGGATGCCCATTTTGTAAATAAATCTTGCTTTAAATTATTTTCTGAATAATAGATAGAGCATTTTGAAAGGAATGGGAAGTCATAGTGAAGTAAACTGTGATTGTTATTTCTAGAAGAATTTATGAGAAAATAATTTCATTGAACTCAAAGCATGAATTTTAATTTTGCTTTGGATTTTCAATGAAAAATAATTTCATTTTTGCTTCCTGTTTCTTAAATATTTTGGCTGACTTTACCAAGAAAACTTTTAAATTTTAAATTTTTTTCTAATGTAGTATTTATTAAAAATAACTTCAAACACACATCATAAACTCAGTGTTGTATTATCCCCCATCAGCAAAACCAAACGTCAAAATATGTTTAATGATTCAGTTTTTGCATATCATAAGATCATTACTTAATGGTGCTTGAACTAACAAAATGAAGTGAGTTAATTGATGATGTCGCTGCTTAATGATACCCTGGTTGTTTAGGTCTTTGCTTCTCCTTCCATTAGTCTCAGTACTTCAGAGTGGTTCGTGTACTAGGAATTTCTGTAGAACAACCAAATAGGGATGTTCCAACTCCAAGTTAAAAAGAAGCATATACCACTATTGCTGTTGTTATATTGCCATCAGAGCTTGACAAAGCATACATATAGGGTTATCACACATCATTTACTAAAACACCAGCATATGGATTTTATTTTGATAAATATGTTCACATTATTATTTTAAGCATCAGTGTTGGATTAAGATATATGGGCATAAATTATGTAAGATTCATAGATTAAAATATTAGAAAAGATCATGTCACTAAGCCATGAGCAGCTGAACAAATTGCAGGTAACTAATGCATTTGCTGGAATATGAGTAAAATTTTTTAAACGGTTATTTACATGTGCTGAAAGGTAGAGCCTGCCTCACAAAATCAACGATTAAAGTAAAATGAATGATCATTCAGCATAATAAAGGCATAAAGGTGATTATTAAGTGCATGTTATAATATTATAATATTAAACATCCTGAGAGTAGTAGTTGTCATAGCCATGAATGCATATGAAGTTTAGCACGTAAGGTAGCAGAATTATTATTCTAATGGAATGGTTATCTTTTATGCCTGATTCAGAGAAATGTCACATTTATTCAAAGGATTATTTGTTCCTTGGAAGTTAAAATGTTTTGACGAGAGAAAACTTAACAAAATGATAAAAAGCCGAGACTAGGATGACTTTAAAAATGCCAACTTATAACCCGGGGACAGGTATTTGCATACTAATTGTAACGTTCCTGCTGTCATGTTACCTTCAGCTTGAAGATCAGTCAGAAAGAGAAACTGCATCATCTGTGACAGGCAGACAGTGGGACGCAAAATGCCAGTGAAGTGAGTTGCTGTTTAAAGCTCTTTTTATCCCAGAAGATGTATAAATGCACGACCTGAGTCTTCAGGAGTCTGAATGACTTGCTACTTTCATTTATGATATAAATGTTACTTGTTCCCTTTCATCCTAATTTTTTGCCTTTCTTTATTGATTCTCTCTTATTCTTTCTTTCTAAAATATGCCAACGTCTGACTTATTTTGACTCTAAATTCTTTTTTTCTAGATAAAGAATATTAAAGTAGTTAGAGCACTGATCTCTCTCTTTTCAGGTTTTTCGAAATAGTGAGGTAGAAATAGAACACACATGGTCTTTGTAAAAGTTATTCATTATCTCTGTACTTATTAGGAAACTTTCGCATGGATATTAAGTGCTTGGTAAGGAAGCAGCTGTCACTTCCTCAGGCACATGAACTCCTTGCTTGAATTTTCCATTCTCCAGCACACTGCTAATTGAGTGTGAACAGCTAAGTTGTTGGATACCACATTTTATAATGCAATACAACTGGTTCTAGCTGGCACAATTAGCAAGATAACTGGTAGCTTTCACGCAGTTCCCATCTGGTCTGGCTCTTCTCTGGACATATAATATGGGTACTGCCGGCCTTGATGGCACTTGCTTAATGAAGAAAACAGACAGGAAATCAGCCAAAACCCCATGAAATGCTAAGTGAAATTTTGGCTCCAGATACACAGTGAATTTTCTGGCAAATCATATACACATGCAAAGTTACTTTGCTTGTGCACCAAATTCTATAAAGTTCTCTCTCTCTCTCTCTCTCTCTCTCTCTCTCTCTCTCTCTCTCTCTCACACACACACACACACACACACACACACACACACATACAAACACACAAATATATACACATACACAGAAACAACTGAAAAGCAGAAACATAGCAATGAGAGACTAGTACATTGTCCATTTATTTCAGATAACATATAAGCAAAAATGAAATCAATGAAGCCTGTACAGTTTTAAATTAGTTGCCATTTTCTTATTCTCTAATTTTTATTTAATGGATTTTACCAATATTTCTATGACTTCATATTATAAAACATACAATTGTATTTCTCATGCACATGTAACTTAAGAAATTTTCTATATTTACTTTATAATTGACAAGTTTTAAGACTGCAATGCATAGACTATCTACAAAGAAATCAATTATGACAATTTGGATATTTTTTAAGATCTTGGAGAAGTGTGTGACCTTCTACTGCAGGAAAACCATTTTCTTACTGCATGTGTTCCAAAATGAGCACAAAAGTATTGACTTAAGCATGTGGGGAAGAAGTTTTAGAAGGGTTATGGTCCTCAACAAACCTCTGTGTAAATACTAATTCTGCCCACTATTTGTGTGTTACTGCTCAGGTCAGTAGCATTTATAACACCTTTTAGTCATTGGTAGGGAGAATTCAGCACACTGTTATTGTCAAGGTTAACTGATGGAAGGTATGTGCCTTGTTTCATGCAATGCAGAGTAACGTATAAACATTCAAAGCACACTTGCACATTCTAGTGTTCTTATACACACCAGCATTCAGTTTGTTTGTCAGTACCAAAACATGTCCTCCCAAAGAATACAAATACAATAGACCCCCAAATTTAAATTTTTTAATGGTAGGAAAGATTATTCCTTAAAATCGATACATCGTAAATAATTTCTGAAAATGAAGCTCTCTGCCACTTCTAGCCCTTTCAGAATAATAAATATTCAAACCTGAATCTTCTAGGTGAGAACAGGTCAGTAACATGAGCATCCTCAGCAACTTCACAAGGCATGTGGTACCCCTTCTGAGAACAGAAAAGCAACTCACCCCTTATGAGAAAAAAAAATCAACATTTCTTGATCTGAATTTATAGTAGAACACTCTAGCAACTCTAACTGTTGGGTGTCAAATATTTTATGTGTATATCTACAGAATACAGAGTACTTAAGTACATCTCTGTAATTCCAAACATCATTCTTCCTATTGTCCTTGTTCCACACTAATTCCAGATTCTTTTTCCTTTCTGTTTTTCCTGTTTTTGAACAATAATGCAAATAATAGGAAAAGCTACTGCTTACCTGAACATCTCCATGGTCAGACTCATTTGCTTCCAAGAGGGTCTTCAAAGGAACATTACTTTTGCCTTTAGCTTAATCAAATTCTGACTGAACCTAAAGTCTGTGTTCCCTTTGCTCTCATTGTCCTCAGGGGTGACAGTGAGGTCCTGCCAGTCCGTGGTTCTCCAGGCATACTGTCACACTCTGACTCTGCTTCCTATGCCCATGGCACTGTAGGATGTCCAGACTGAACAATTCGTCTACACTTTTTAATGAGTGCCTTCATTGTGTTCTCCCAGCATCCTGAAAGCCACATCTCCTTTTTATCAGGGGTCATATGCCAGTCATTACCTGGATTTGATCATTAATTTCTAGGCCTAGCCACACTCCTCAGGGTGCTAGAAATAACAACTTTTACCTGATATTAAAGAACTTGCATATGAGCAGAGAAGTAGACTTCTGAAGGGATTCCCATTTCTCTGTGTTTTACCTGATGACCACTTCTTATTCAGAAAAATGCCTTTGAAGGCCCAGCTCCTCTCTGCCCTATGTAGTAACATATACTTCACAGCTACTGGATTTTGGATCATTTAAATATTGCCGCAACCATCACAGTTCAGTCTACAAATGACTGTTTTTGTGCAAGTGCCTTTTAAATGACCTTTATGATCATTTTAGAATTCCAACAAAACTTAGTATGAGAATCATTTGATACAACATAATCTTAGTGAAAACAGGTTGTAAATGCTCAAAAGCACTTCAGTGTGAAATTAAATCTAGGATTAAGACTAATACTTAATTTATGAAAAATGAAAATTAAACAATGCAAATCTTTTTAAATGTCCTTTCAATTAGACACCACCATTGCAAAAGTCTCCTAGACAAACTGTGCCCTTGTTAGCAAGTTAAAGAAAACATTGAGGATTGGGGCACATAACTTTGAATGGAAATTTGAGATAGAAAATATCAGTACTAGAAGAAAGTATAACGAATACCCAGTAGCCTCTCTTTCTCAATCCTCTTATTATTATATGAAAATACAGCTAATATAAAAACAGTGGGGAAACAGTCCTTGAAAAGGCACATAAAGCTCCAGTTAATTACAAAGGAGCAGAGAAGACTCAGCACTTCACAAACCCATGGTTACTATTATCATCCTGATATGCAGTAAATACATCATTTTATTATTCATGAGAATGGTTAGATGTGAGACCGTCTCTATTTTATTGTCAATTGCTTTAATTTAAGATTTAAATTTGCTCATTCTTGACCATTTGTACATTACAACTGTATAATCAAACTCTTTAGCCAGAGTGCCTTCCTGTGGATAGGGGCTGGTATCATCAGGATATTTATCTGTTAAAGAGAAATATACATGATATATTTGTATCTCACAAAGATTATATCCTAAAGTTGATTTATTATTTTATGTAATATCCCCCCAAAGCATACCTTCTTCAGAAAACTTCAGTCCATAAATATTTTACTGCTTTGAAAATAAACAAATAGCACTGTCATGACAGATTTATATAAATTTATATACATTTATATAAATCAGTCCGTAACTAGTCTACCAGCCTAAGGAGAGTATAATCTGGTTCAGAATAGGAGAAATACAGCAAAATACTAAAATCAAACATCTTTCATATCATCACAATAGAAAACAGGTACATTTGTATGATATGAAAGCATAAAAATTTTCATTTACTTATTTTGATTATAATAAGAAGATTTTTTCAGGACAAAGTAGCACATAACTAAGAATATTCAGAAAAATTTATAATTGCTTCACTGAACCAATATGTCTCTGGTGCCATTAACTTAACTGTTTACAAATATTAACACTGTTGACTAGACTAATAAATAATTTCCTGATGTCAATTTATGTTCCACATTATGTTGCTATGACTTTACACACTGGAAAAATATGATGCTATTTCTGTTGACATTTTCCTGTCTCATCACTGCCTCATTTTAATGATGTAAATCATAAATTATCTTCAGTTTAATTTTTCTATAAGTTATCAAAGAAAAAGATCACAATGCTATTGTCAAGGGTAGATGTTGTTTCTACAGGTCTCCAACTACGGAAACAATGGCATGGTCTGAAAACATGGACTCACTCTTAGCTAACCAAGGTAAGATTCAAGCAATATTACATTTTAAAGATGATAACCAAACATAATCCATTAAACCTTGAAAATGACAAAGATTTCATGAAGTATAATGTTGATCAGTGTTTGTAGCCTAAAAATTTAAGTGCCCAGAATCTAAACAGATTTAGTTTAAACATGAATCAATTTTGTCAAAAGTTCCGGACTCTCTGAACATAGCGAACAATGAGGACTACTGAGAACTCAAGAACAATGGCAATGGGTTTCTGATCCTACTGCATGCACTGGCTTTGTGGGAGCCTAGGCAGTTTGGATGCTCAACTTACTAGACATGGATGGAGGTGGGGGTTCCTTGGACTTCCCACAGGACAGGGAACCCTGATTGCTTTTCGGGCTGGGGGGGGACTTTATTGGGGGAGGGGGAGGGAAATGGGAGGCAGTGGCGGGGAAGAGGCAGAAATCTTTAATAAATAAATAAATTAATTTAAAAAAAGAACAAGGAAAATTTAATTATAAATGCTAATCGAGCAAAAAGCTTGCATTTTTCTTAGCCTATCATTTAATGTATTTGATCACTGTTTACCATTGGTACAAAGTGAAAGAAAGATAAGAAATATCTACAACAGGAAATGTAAATTAATCACTTCTTTTCAAGCTCGTGAGCTAAAGTAGAAAGTCATTAGTGGATTTCAACTAAATGGTCTTCATTTTTAGTAACTAAAAAACTTTTCATTTTTTACTAATGAAAATTTGTTTATATCTAAGAGCAGGGTTCAGTATGGCAATTGTGACCAATCATATAAAATATTTTAATATTGACATGAAATTTTGTACACAAAATAGCCATAAGGTTTTCCACAATTTCTGTTTGTTTTATAAACAATCTGCTCACAGAACGTCTAGGCAATCCAGAGAGGAAAAGGTGGGACCATAAAGACAAAGATACAACATATTTATAGTATCCATTTTATTCATAAAATGACATTTCTGTTTGAAACTAATAAGGTATTGAAAAGGCTTCAAATAATAAAGCCAGCACATTCTGCAATGCTGTTCATTCATACTTAAAGTCAGATTAAACTAAATACGTTAAGATATTATGAATATATTATCTTTATTGACTAAATCCTACAGTTCAAGGACAACTAAAGACATCCATTAACAAGATTTTGTGGGTGTCCTCACCCTCTCTGCCTCTCTTAGGAGTGCATGTTGGGTTGGGTGGAGAGAAGGTGGGGGGAGTGCGAGGAAGGGAAGGAGAAGGAACTGAATTGGTATGTAAAATAACATTGTTTTAATAATAAAAAAAGTGAAAAAGGGGGAAATATGCTGTGGATATAAAACAGCTTTTTCTAGATTAGAATGGACAGATTCATGTGTTCTTCAGTGTTTCACCAAAGGAACTAGCCAAGTTGCCTAAGTGTCTCTTAGAGTCTCTCTGCTTGTTGTCAATTGGGAACAGCAGTGGAAATAAATTATAGACAGCTGTGGTACAGAACAGAGCTGAGAAGGGTCCTAGATGTAGACAGCTGCGCTCATAAGCACACTTTCTAGGCATTTATTTAATACTCACATAAAAGTCCAAAGCCATAGATTCATCTAAATAGCAATTTGATGTGACTTTTATCAAACAAGATAGTGGTATACCTTATCTGTAACCCTTAAACACCTAATAGACTAGCAAACTACTTAAACATTTTTTTGTCAGCTTCACCTCTATGCAGACTTAACTTTCCTGGGAACTTTCTATTCCTACTGTCTTCCTACTGCATTTTACATTCTCTGTGACTTCTAAATCAACGAAGTAATTTCATGCGACACACTGTCCTCATGAGTAGATTTTATTGCATGCAGTGTGTTAGTCCAAACTCATCTGGAATGTTTTCATATTAAAATGTGTCTAAAACAAAATAGCAAGTCAGTGAAATACTGAATACAAGACAGAGCTTGCTGACCCAAAAATAAATAGTTCATTTTGCACCTTGGGTGCAAACTAAGGTGTGGAAGGAATGTGTGGTTCAGAGTAGGCCTTCGTACAAACTGAAGAGCAGCAGAAAACAAGATTATTTCTTGATTTCTGACATACAACTCTCTAGCATGCATTCACATATTCCTTGAGGAGAAAAGCTTCATATGTCCTAATGGCACACATAAAATATGATCAAAAAAGTCAAAGTATTCTTTCTTTGTTAAAGAATACATTATCTAATATGTTTGGATTTCAAAAATGCATCACAGTTCAGTTTTTCAGAGAAAATTTTACTTTTTACTACAAATTTTAACTCTAAACTTATGACAGAGAAGCTTAGTACACAATTAATTTAATTTTCATTTATTAGTGACAAACATACTCTCTGACATTTATTTGAGAAATTTTAATTAGTATCTTGTAATTTTTACAATGAGTTTCCACTTTTATATTACTTCATATAAGGAAAACATCATGCCACTTTAATTCAGTGTTTTGGAGACTTGAGATTTGGTTGTAGGAAACTGCTTTATTTTATTCTTGAATTTCACTTTTGCTTCCCACCTGCAGCAACCTATAAAACTTTGACAGCCCCAATCCTTTCATAATTTCTTTTATTTTCCAGTCAACCTTTCAATCCCCTGTATTTCCATAAGCTTACTTCTTCCGGATGATGAGACATAAGGGGAAACTCTCAGCCTGCTGTAAGGAAACAAGTACTCTAAGGTCTGCAGAGGGACCCTTGTGGCAGAGAGAGGAGAAAACCACCAGTGTTTTGGAAGGCAAATTCATGAGTGACTAAAGGCCTTAAGTTCCTTGTCAGACATAAAGCCTCGCAAGCATATCTGCCCAAATGCAAACTGCAAAACTGAATACCATGACCTTAAGAAACCAGAACAGTCCAGTCAAAGGAGAAGACCTGACCATAATCTTTCTAACACAGCACATAGCCGGAGGCATACTCTCAACCATACTTAGCTCAAAACATTGAGCAAGAACCACCTTTTCCATCAACTGTGAATATTTCACGTACAAAAAAAAATTCTACAAGATACATTTTGATGGGGGCTACAGCAAAGCAGAAGACTAAGTAGAAATTTAGGAATTTAAATATCTATCAAAGCAATGAATTATGGCATATATTTTAATGGATGTATAATAATGGGATAAGACATATTTAAAGATGTAACTGGGGTTATTGATTTTTTCTATAAATATATATTCTTAGTCAAGTCAAAGGAAAGGAGCCTAGAAATAAGTGGACCCCTATGCAGCACCTGCAGCAAAACTTCCAGAGAGACGCATGCTCACGAGAAATCTGACTGTGAGGCCGAATATGAGACAGTCCACAATAAGAACATTGCCTAAAGCAGCATTGGGCAGATCCCCTTTATATGACTTTCAGAATTAAAATTTCCTATTATAAAAATAAGATGAGCATAAACATTCACCCCCAAATACCTTGCCAGGTACTTTCTTGGCTTAAACGTTATATTTGTCCAATATAGTCAGCACAAACTACTTAGGGTCAGCATTGCCTATTCTACTCGGAGCCCGAACAAATTGTTTTGTTTTCTCCCTCGGCTTCAAATTATGTCTCAAAAACTTATAGAAAAGAAATATGTTCCTACCATGGTTATTGTATCATAATTAACTTGACCTAAGCAATTCAGTAGTCTGTGGGGTTTCCTGTCCAATACTCATAAAGAGATTCTTTGAAACATAAGTCAGATCTAGAATATAAAATATAGATTTTATTGTTAATTAAGTTAATTTTTAAAGAATAAATGAAAATATTTCAGACCTATGATTACTTCCCAAAACTAAGTTTTCTTATTTGGAATAGATAATATGTAAATATTACTTGATGATCAAAATATTTGCCACTTAAAATTCAATAAATGCTCATTTGATACAATGAAACTTATATGGGGAATTTTAGTATCTTACAGATAATGCAAAGCTTTCTTAAATATTTTGTAGCTGGCTTGGATGCTTTCAGAACATTTCTAAAATCGGAATTTAGTGAAGAAAATGTTGAGTTCTGGCTTGCTTGTGAAGACTTCAAGAAAACAGAATGTAGAGAAAAGATTGCTTCCAAAGCCAAGATGATTTATTCTGAATTCATTGTAGCTGATGCACCAAAAGAGGTGAGTAAAGTGTTTGGGAAGAGTGAAGTTGCAGCCCAGGCAGGCTGTTCACAGTTAGAAATGGAGCTCTCTCTAAAGAGGAAGCTGACCGTTTCACTTCCCAGAGAGAAAATGTCAGTAGGCCCCAATATAAAAAAAATATTAAACAGCCGTGCGGTGGTGGCACACACCTTTAATCCCAGCACTCGGGAGGCAGAGGCAGGCGGATCTCTCTGAGTTCGAGGCCAGCCTGGTCTAGAAGAGCTTGTTCCAGGACAGGAACCAAAAAGCTACGGAGAAACCCCGTCTCGAAAATCATAATATATATATATTAAACAGTAGCATATTTCCCAGAGAGAAAATATCAGTAGGCCCCAATATAAAATTATATTAAACACTAGCATATTTTTGAAATTAATATATGTGGAAGAAAAGCATCTAACTAGTGGATTTAAGTGGTTTTCATTTATGATGTCTCAGAATTCTGCCCTATAGAATGCAGTAATGTCCTGTGTTCAAAATGGGGTGTGGTTTGCCTTCCTGTGAAAATGAGCCAGAGGTATTTATGAAGTAGCAAGGTCCCACCTGTGCAACTTAACGATCTAAAAAATACAAAGGGTCTTGTGGCGAAATCAAGAATTATTCTGATACTATCTCTTGAAACTGTGTGTTTTTAATTTTTATTCTGTTCACACACGTGTTTGTGCTCACTTGCATGCACACAGTTCTATGTATAGAGTTACTCAGCTGCTGTGTAAAAGCCTGGCATTGGCTTCCAGGTATGTTGCTATCTAATCATTCACCTTAATTTTTAATTTATGTTTTGTTTTTGAGATTACAGTATAATCACTTTTCCCCTTCCCTTTTTGTTGTGGGATATATGATACACTGTGAACCCTGAGTTTGCTTTTGCATTAGTTAAATAAAACCAGTCTTTAGTCAGGAGGCAGAGCCAGCAATCAGTTGACAGAAAGAAATCAGAGAGAGTCAGAGGGAGTTCCGAAAATGGAGAGCAAGACTCACAGAAAGCAGGAGCAGTGCAGGGGGGAGGGGGGGGTTGGTGTTTTGCTTTGAATGTGGTTGTCCTTTTTGGTTTGGTAGAGCAGAAGGACACTCTCCTTTTTGAGATGCTGGTGAAGTGGGAAGGTCAGCTGGTTGCTCCACAACCTCTCTAAGCTAGCAGGTTTTGACCCCAGCCTCTGACTCTCGATTCTTTGATAAATAGAACGATAAGGACTTAGTTGAAAACTACATTTGGTGGTAGTGGCAGGAGGCAGATGGGACAGAAAAGTCTTTTGGGCACTGTCTGAGAAGGCACAGGTAACTGCAGAGTCACAGTTACTGACTGATTCAGGTGCAGCCTATATGCCAACAGAAGAGCGCCGTTCTTTCCCCAAAACCCTCCCATATACCCCTCTGTGCTATCCCTCAAATTCGTGGCTTCTTTTATTCTACATTCCAAAGTGGTTGTGGAGAGTCCAAGAGGCCTCAATGTTGCGTAAAGAAACATAGGCAACCAAGGAAGGTGAAAAAGAGAGAGTTTTCCCTAGGGAAGAGCATACCAAGTGACTATCCACCTTATTTTTGAGGCAGGATCTCTCACTGAAACTGAAGCTCACTGTTTTAGCTAGACTGGCTGGCTAACTAACCCAGAGGATCCATGTGGCTCCACCCCTTCAGTTTTAGGATTATAGACATGCCCAGCTTTTAATTGGGGCCTGGAAACCCAAAGTCAGATCCTCCTGCTGAGACCAGAATGTTTTCACTAAGCCCTTTGATGGTATTTCTAGTATAGAAAGTTTCATTTGTGTCAGGCTTAACTTCCAGTGCATCAATACAAAGAAAGACTGGGCACTACATAGTCTGGTATTAACTGTAACTAATATTTAAACAACTTACATTTTAAAATCAATAAAGTTGCCTAAAAATATGTAACGTGAAGCAAAAAAATCAATGCATAAGTTGTGGGCAAAACAGGAAATTGCAAAAAGTAGTAATAGCACAAATTAGCTCATAGGATCAGTGATCTTCCCTACAGAGGTAAGATACTGATATCTGTATCACTAATAGTTACTGTAGCTTCTGATCCATCATTAGGATTTGTGCTGAGAAAAAAAGTGGTGGTCATTATAGGCAGAGAATAAGTTATATGGAATGCAACTATGTGGATAAAACAGAGGGCTCAAAGTTATAGGAAGTTCCACTTTTAGATGGACATTAATTACTGCAGTTGTTACTAGGTTGGTATAATGCTAACAGACACAAGAACCACTGAACTGTGGTTTGGAATTCACAGTGGGTAGAAAAGAGTTTTAACTCCTGTGGAGATATTTCAACATTCATTTCTAAGTCACCACCTAAAAATCAATAAATAATCATGGAAAATTGGAAATGTAGTATATGTGATTTGTCAAGTTGATTAATGTGTCATTTCCTAAGAGGTTTTGAAGCAACCTTAAAAATATATATTTTACTACAATCCTCATTTGAAAGCCAGTTTTTTTCCTCCCTTACAAATCTAATTAGCAGTGACTACTTTAAGACAGCATTAGTAAACACTATTCATTAAAAAGAGCTAACAAAAAGATAGTCTTAAAGCTGTAGCTAAGGGACTGAAGAGATGGTTCAGTGGCTAAGAGTACTTAATGCTCTTGCTGAGGACCCAGGTTCAAATTCCAGCACTCACAAGTTAGATCACAAATATAACTTCTGTTCCAGAAAATCGGATGACCTCTTCTAGCAAACAAGGGTTCAAGGTACACATGTGGTACATAATCATATGTATGGGGAAAACATTCATGCATATAAAACAAAATAAAAATTGAAAGTGTAAACAGTATGGCTGAACTCAGTTATAACTAACAATTTAGACAAAAAGTTATATTTATTTTCTTAATCTTTCCTTCCAAATAAACATCATCAATAATAATTTCACTAAATAATTCAATTACTGTTTTAGCATATAAAAGTTTTAAAGCTTTTAACATTTTACACATGCAATTAATTTAAATAAAATTCTAGTTTCCTTTCAAGTAATGGTTAGATTGTTTCCAAATGGCTCCAAAATATGTACTTAAACATGACAAAATTTATTGAAATTTAAGTGTGTGTGTGTATGTGTGTATGTCTATATACACATATATAGCCACTCTCTTTCCTATTATCATTCACTGTTTCTAGTGCAAATGTCTCAAGGCATTTGAATGATTTGCCAACAAGTTGCTAAGTACAAGTACTTATGGCCTTTCAGTTACATACAAAAGGTGATACATATGCTTGTATGTTTATTTATTGAACTGAAATTTTGAGATTCTGTACACATAATAAGTTTATTTAGATAGAAGAAGATATTGACGAAACTTTAAAAATATAAAAGAGACCATATGATAATAAACACACTTAGAGTTAACTACTGTCATTGTGGAGAGACTATGACCACATGGAAAGGTACATGATAAATTTGTAGAATGAATCACTGACTAAAGAGATAAGTCATGAAAAATCAGTCATATTTTATGAAAAGATCAAGAAAAGGTAGAATATTTCATATTGAAAACATGCTTGGTTAACACTGTGATATAAAACATCAAGGTATATTCATCTATTGCAAGTATTTTCATATTGTTAATATAAGAAGGGAATGGAGAATAGGTTTGAGATCTTTATCTTCATCGTTGGAGATGAAAATGTAATAAGAAAGAATCTAGATTTATCTGGTAGGCAAACTTGGCAAAACTATGTGACCACTTTTATAAGTAGATTAGAAGATGTAGTAAGTTTTATAAGCAGAAAGTTAATTTCAGAGGAGTTCATAGGAGACTATTCTCCTTTATTCTGTATTCAGCTGAAGCCATGTAACTGACTCTAATAAAGAATGAAATTATAGCCAATTTCCTTGGTAGAAAGTCCTACACTGAGAAATGGTGTCAGAGTCACGTTGTCTAGATGTCTACTTAGTCCTCTTTCCTGTCAAACACATGTCTTTATTTCTTCAGCTGTAGAATTGCTACAGACTTTGTTAATTTTAGTTGACTGCATCTAGATTATAATAAGCTTATTTACTGACCCTCGTCTGCAAACTGAGATCACATGGTTGTCAGAATACCATCCTTAAAAGCAGACTACTCACAAAAACTGGACTTTCAAGTTTCTATGACAGATGTAATAATTCCAGCTGCACTTCATGACCTCTCTTTTATAATGGCACCTTCCCTCCGGTTCTCCCCTTAACCATGAGAAGTTATGGCACAAAATCTATAGTTTCCATAAATCTCAATTTGTACTCAAGTCCTGTGCCTCTGTTTTATTGTGGAGCTATTTCACTTTTGGGATTCCTGCTGAACATATGTACATGAAGCATATGAAAATGGAGAAAAATTAGATAGTATGATTACAACTCATATCACGAAGAAAAGTTTTTACAATATTTTAATCATACTTTTCTATTAGCATGTCCCAAGGAGGACTACTAAATCTTAAAGTATTAAAAGCAATCACTTGTAGCTATCTGTGAAGATGTGAAACCAGGCTTTTAAAGATTTAATAAAGTAAATATGATCAAACATTGCACAAAATATATTAACAAAACTTCAGTTCCACTTAAAGGAGAAACTCACTGAAGGGCCATAATAGGCAAAGAGGAAAACATTTCATAAAGAAAATTGCATGCATGTCCCAGCTATTTCTAATAAAGGACTAGACTTTTAGAATACTTTTAAACAATGTGTTTTCCAAGTTTCAGTACTTAAGCATAGCAAAGAAAATGTAATTCTCAGTATTGCACTTATTCAAATTTTATTTATACCATTAATTTCATACACTTATAGATTTTAAAGTCAAATATAAATTAGTTTTGAGAAAACTATACTAGAATAAAATAAAATAGTATCTTTACTTCTCACCAACAGTTTTCACATATTTGAAATATTGATAAATTTTATTTTTATAAATGTAATGTATAAGAACATAAAAAAGTTACTGAGAGACTGGAGAGATGATTCAGCAATAAGAGTCCTTGCTTC